TTTTAAGTGGGAGACATGTTTAGGAAAGGAGACAGGTGGAACACCCCAACAGGCCTATTTAATCCCCTGCCACCACCATCAACAGCTTGTCCAGCCCATAGTCCCCACCCTGGAAAATAATAACAGTATATCTGGCAGCTACTTCAGTCCTGCACCCAATATGAGTTGCACAAGCCAGTGCAGCCAGCGCTTTAGGAGATAATGTCAGCTTTAGGCATGAGATGTAGTCAACAATCATCAAATGCTTGAGGTGCACCAACACCATCAAAGGGAGACAATCAACAGATAATCCTTGAAGAAACAGTAGAGGAATCAAGAGTAGAAGTACAAAAAAAATACTAATATCACTAGATGAGGATAGCACATGTATAGAAAAGAAAGAGGCAATTATGAAATAGAGTTGATACTGATTAAAGATAGTCGAAATTAAAAGTTTCTTCAAAGTTTTACTTTTTTTTAAGTAAAACTATTAGCTATTTAAAAGAATGAAGAACAATCATTCTTTGAAAATAGTGTTTGATTGAGCTTAACATTTGTCAAATGAATAACATCCTTTTTATTTAAGGTGCTGCATTTTGGGATGCCATCCTTCCGAGGATTACTTTCTTGAAAAAGACGGCATTTTTCTCCTTTTGGATTTATTGGCAGTAAGTATTAGACTGCAGGGTCGGTTTGGAGGGCAGAATCAGCAGCTGAAAGTCACATCAGGCGCTCCCCAGAAAACCCTATACAGGGTCACTGTAGTTGGAAATGACTAGATGGCACTTAACAACAACAGCAAGTATGTTTGTAACAACTACAAGACAAAAGTTACAGGTTTTATGAACCCTTTTACACACTGAGTACCACAGAACACATTTCTATGAATTCACATCCTCCCCCCCCCCCCAATTATGTTCAAATGTACTGTTTTAAACAAAATCCCTCCTGGAAAATTATAAGATGCATTAGCATATTAAGGACTCCTGGAGTTACCCTGTAGGATCAGCACTGACCTGTGGACCGTAAACTACTCCTGGGGAACCCATAACAGGGTCGCTGTGAGTCAGAACCAGCTCAACAGCACTTAACAACAATAGCGTATGAAAGGCTCTGAAAATTCTTCTAGTTTAGAAATGACCTTATTTAGATCAGAGTTTCCAAACATTGTAGCAGAGAATTCTCTTTTTGTTGTTTTCCTTTATCCTCTATGAACTTTCTAAAAGCAGTTTGTAAAGTGCTAGAATGTGGTGCTGTAGGATCAAACCACAAGATCCATAGTTCAAACCCACCAGCTGCTCCTTGGAAACGCATACAGCAGGGATGGGGAACGTCTGGCCTGTGGTTGTATAAGGACCTCGAAATCATTTGGTCTGACCCTGCCAAGGCAATTGCAGTTCCAGTTTTGCCGTTGTTGTTGTTGTTGTTATATGCTGTCAAGTTGGTTCCGATTCATAGTGACCCAGTATAGAGTTTTCAAGGAGCGGCTGGTAAGTTTGAACCACCATCCTTGTGGTTCAAACTGACCTTATGGTCCAGTGCTTATCCTACAACACCACCTCTGTGATGTTGTTGTTGTTAAGTGCCTTTGAGTTGGTTCCGCCTCATAGCAACCCTGTTGTATAGGGTTTTCTGAGGAGCAGCTGGCGATCTTGAACTGCCAACCTTGCAGGTCAAATGGCTTTGCAGTCTGGTGCATTAAGCCACAGTGCCACACCATGATTCCTGTGACATTAGGGGTGGGTTAAATAAATGTTTGACCAAATTTCAAAGGCTAATTTTCAAGTGGGTAATTTTGTATGGCCCATGAATGATGTTATCAGTTTTGGCAGAAAAAGTTTCCCCACCCCTGCTATACAGGGTCGCTACGAGTCGAAACCAACTTGATGACACTTCCTAACAACAACAGTAGTCATCTATTGATAAATTCTAACTTTTCCCTCTAGTGTTAGAAATTAAGAGCTACATTAGCCCAAAGGACAAACACAAGCATTTTGATGGGGAGAACTGTAGATCTTTTGGCAGTAATGTTAGAAAGTCTAGTGTGTCGTGGGCCATTTTACAGAGTGAACATACTAAGGCTTCCAGCAAAGGTAGTTGCCATTTAACAGCTGAGAGAAATGTCAGAGACCCCCATTCATCTTTAGTCCCTTGGTAGCCTGAATTCTAAGTGGCACCTCTGCTCAAGATTATGTGGACAGAAAACTTTAATTTGTTTTAGTAAAACTTTGGAGATTCTCACAGTTCTAGCCATATTGCTGCCTGTGATTGATTTGATTAGCATTAAAACAGTAGCAGCCCTACTTTGATTTAGCAGATGTACAAAAGTAATTTGTGTCCCTTCACTTCCAGAAAGAAAATTAGTTTACAACAGGAATAAGAGTGCAAACACCAATACAAAACACCACAAATAAAAAAATAAGTGAATAATAATGGTAACAATCCATCTTGATGGACAGATTTGAATTCTAACTTAAATCCTTGGAAAGGTTAGAAAATTGAACATAATGCAAGAGAATGTAGACCTACCACTACACTATAGGACTAGATAGAACAGCTTCCCATGGTTCTTTGACTATACCCAGAGGCACATGGTGGTATGTCAAGGAATCAATCCCCAAAGGCCTGGTACATCCTCCTGGAACATTTCTTTTACTTAAAGATTTAGAAGTGAGGAGTTAATTAAATGTGAGTATGTTCAAGAAGGTAAATTTTACAATAATATTTAAGATTACATGGAAAACCTCAAAGTCATTTCTCACTAGTTCTCTCTTGACCCTTTGTATTTCTTTGATGGAAGGCATTGGGAAAGACTGGTAGAAGGAAAGCGGGGGTGGTAGAGTGGTTATGAGGATAAGCCGGAGCCAGGCTGGCTGAGGCCTCCAATACTTGCTAACTCTGTAACCTGGGCAAGTTGTATAACATCCATCTTCCTCAACTTCTTCATCTGTAAAAGGAGATAATAAAAGTAGCTAGTTTGTAGTATTATTATTGTTGTTATCAAGTGCCGTCAAGTCAGTTTTGACTCAGCAACCCTGTATAATGTTTCCAAGGCTTCAAATCCTTGTGGGAGCAGAAAGCCTCATCTTTCTGCTTATGTTATGGAGCCACCATACTGTCCATGATCGTACTATTAGGAGGTCACTGTGTGTGTTTGTGTCGGGTGGAGGCCGGGGTGTTAAAGATAAGGTAGTGTAAGTGTAAGTGATTACTGTGTAAGTTATTACTATTATTACGACTGCCATTATTAGATTGAGTTTACTATGGATTGAATCAAGTTAAACATAAATATGTCTTAATTAAATTTTTATATCAACTTGGCCCTTGACATTTGCTTCTTTCTCCAGGAAATAAAGTACAGTAATATAAAATTCACCTACTTAAGGTTTATAAATATTACCATTCTACTAAAATATTTATTCATTGTACGTGCTAATAAACATCTTCCCTTATTCTTACAACTCTCCTTTCTCCAAATCAACTAGCTTAATTACATTTTTGGTTATGACATTTGTTTATCACTGCTTCAGAATTATATTGAATCTTTTTCTTTTTATCCTTTTGAATTTCTGATGTTTGAAAATGTACAAATTATAATGCGTGTATCTCCTTTACATGATCATGTTCCAAATCTTAATTAGTTTCTGAGTTTATAAGGCAAGTATTTAGAAGTAATGTGTTGATAATTGCAAGTATTTCTATTTTTTTAAGGCAATATATTTTTTTTTATATTTCCTGCAACTTTTTTTTTCCTGTCTCCTTGCATAGTTGAACCACAAAAAATTCTGTAATCTAATACTTGGAATAATGGTTGAATTTTGTGATAATCCAAAAACTACGGCTCATGTCAATGCTTGGCGGGGGAAGAAGGACCAGACAGCTGCTAGTCTTTTAATTAAATTGTGGCGAAAAGAAGAAAAAGAACTAGGAGTAAAACGGGATAAAAATGGGAAGATAATTGGTAAGTGTATGTATAATTACTGTCAGAAACAATTCTATAAATATGTTCCAAAGAGGATTATTGAAGATAGCAGTAGAGTACGAGGACTGTCTTAAAGTTCTTTCACAGAGTTTGAAGAATGTATGATCCTAAGTGAGTGGGAGAAAACTAGGTAAGTTAGTAACACGTTCATATTTTTAGAAAATAACATTAAAAAATAGTATTTATTATATTCGCTAACTCAAAAACTAAGAGAACTTCCTGAAAAAAAAAGTCTTTGAGATACCTTCGCATACAAATATACTGAGTAACATTTCATTTACCAATAAAATTTTGTATGTAAATAGAAAACTTTGAACACAATATTTAAAGTATTTTGTACATTCCTGTTGATACTTGTTACTTTTTACTGTGAAAGAAGAATTTATTTTCTGAATAAAAATAAACTCAAAGGTTCCTAAATTTTTATTACTAGATTCTAAATTAAGGAGGCTTATAGTATGAGAAGTTATTATTTATTTTACATATATATATATATGGAGCTCTGGTAGCGTAGTGGTTACGAATCGGGCTGCGAACCTTAAGGTCAGCGGTTCGAAAGTACCAGCGGCTCCGTGGGAGAAAGATGAGGCTTTCTACTCCCGTAAGGATTTACACCCTCGGAAACCCTATACAAGGTCGCTATGGGTCGGAACCGACTCGATGGCACATAACAACAACATATATATATATATACACATATACATGCTACAGTGCTGTATTATTTTCCAAACCTTTAAAAATGGTTAGTTTCAACTAAACATTTTTCGTTGTTTACTTTTAAATGGAAAAACTTCCATCCCTTTGATTTCAGTTTGTTTCTTTCTTTCTGAGTTTCAATTTACAACATCATAAAACATTGTTATAGTGGGTGGTGTGGTACTGTAGGACAAGTACTGAACTGCTGATCACAAGGTTGAGTTCAAACCCACTAGCTGCACCTTGGAAACAATATACAGTGTTACTGTAAGTCAGAACCTACTCAATGACACTTAACAATAATGTGACACTGTAGGTTAATGCGCTCGACTGCAAGGTCACTTTGAACCGCAAGGTTGACAGTTCAAGTTCACCAGCCACTCCTAGGAAACCCTGTACAGTGTGTCTATGGGTCAGAACCGACTCAATGGCACTTAACAACAACAACAACATAGTAAACTGGGAGCATGATAGCTCTGTAGGATAAGTTCTGGACTGCAAAGCAAAAGGTCAGCAGTTCAAACCCACCAGATGCTCCAAGGAAGAAAGATGAGGTTTTCTGCATCCACAAAAATCTACAGCCTCAGAAACTGTATAGAGAGTTGTGATGAGCTAGAACCAACCATATGGCTCTTAATAACAACTAAAAACAAAGGCAGCAACTCTGTTCTCACACTGACCAATTTAATTTCTAAATGTCAAATAAAAAGTTATTTACAAAAAAAATAACTTTTTAAATAGTAATACAAATTTTACATATTTTAAGTGAATAATAAATGGAAAAACTTCAATTTTGCCACAGAATGGAGGAGAAATAACTTACTGCTTACTTTCAGATGAGTCACAATGTTCCAGGCACAATCTTAGCCTGTGCTCCTTTTTCTTTCTATCTTATGTTGTGTAGAATAAATCACTAAGTATTTCTTTACTGTTGTTTTAATTTCTGTGTTTTCCTACTATCCAATTATTAGATACAAAGAAACCTCTGTTTACTAGTTTTCAAGAAGAACAGAAAGTCGTGCCGCTGCCTGCCAACTGCCCAACTGTGGCAGTAATGGATGTTGCCGAGAATATCAGAGCAAAAATTTATGCTGTGCTGGGCAAACTGGGTAAGAAGGAACTTGTCAAATGTAGGAAAATGTCTCATTTTGCTAGATATGCAAATGTATTTTGCTTTGCAATCTCTTTTTCAAACATGATGCATAAAATCCCTTTATACTAAAGCAAGCCATGTTGGCCCAAAGCAAGTCCTGGTGGTGCAGTGGTTAAGTGCTAGGCCAGTACCGAAAGGTCTGCAGATTGAACCAACCAGCTACTCAGTGATAAAAGATATATCAGCCTGCTTCCAAGATTTACAGCCTTGGAAACCCTATGGGGCAGAGCTACTCTATCCTTTAAGTTGCTAGGAATCAGAATTGACTTGGTGGCAACTTATATATATATATATACACACACTGATAAATTCATGTGCCACATACACCGAATTTCTTTGTATCAGATCTAGGCATCTGTATTTTTTAAAGCTCCCCAGATAATTCTATTGTATACCCAAGGTTGAGGATCTTAAATAATTAGGTTTAAGTACCAGAAGTCTAATCACCTGAGTTTTTAAAGCCTTCCTGCCTATAAAGGATAAAACCCCTTTCTCTTCAACTTCTGAAAGTCATTTCATTGCCTGACCACAGTACACAAAGAAAAGGTGACTGGATCAGGATGACCTACAGGGGTTTGTTATAGGAGGAAGAAGATGCTCACAAATACGACTATTTCATAAATAAGATGAAATCAGAATGGACTGTTTGCAATGGCTTTATGATGGCTATATGCTTTTTTACTTGTCCTGTTAAAATAATTCCCTCTTTGTGCATTTTGTTTAGATTTTGAAAATTTGCCTGGCCTATCTGCTGAAGATTTTGTCACACTTTGTATCATACATAGATATCTTGATTTTAAAGTGAGTACCTTACTAATAACTTTGTTATTAAAATTCAAAATAGCAAAAATAAATCAGGAAAGAAAAATATTTATACTTATGAGCAATAATCCACATACTGTATCATTTTTTATTTTTCATTGTATATCTGATACTGTTTAGGAGACATACAATTAACTGATCAGGTATTTTCCACAGGGTAAGATTTCATCCAATTACTAGTTTGTAAAAAAGAGAAATGTTATTTACATAGAGCTATTTAGAAGCCTAACAGACTTTTTAAATATATAATGTCTTTAGAGAGCACTGCTTGTTGTGTTGTTGTTAAGTGCCATCGAGTTGGTTCCGACTAATAGCAACCTTGTATAAAGTTTCCATGGAGCAGTTGGTGGTTGTGAACCACCGACCTTGAGGCTCAAGCTGACCTTGTTGTGCAGTGCATTATCCTGCAGCAAATACCAGGAGTACTTAGAGAGCATTGGGAGATAAAAGTATCTAAGTCATTATACCCACTCCTCATTTATCAACATGGTTATGTTTTGCAGTTGATGTCATTATGCAAAAATAGTTGTTATGCACAAGTGGAGGATGACCATTACATCACAAAAGGGAAGATGATGATGTAATTGCCAAACAAGTGAGAATCATATCCCAGCCAAGTTGACATATAACCTTAACCATCACACGTGTTTCACACTGTTAGAGAAAGGAGAGAGAAGGAAGACAGGGAGAAAGAACAAAGACTGGATAGACAATTCTCTTGCAAAAGCACAGATCTTGCAAAGCATAAGTGGGGCAAAAATGAAACTTAGCAAAACACTTTTTTTTTTTCAGTGAATAGTAGGAATTGCTGTTCCCTTTGAGCGTGCAAAGTCAGACAGGTGTAGAAGCCCACAAACTACAACCCTATTCTTAGCACAGGAGGCAGTCACAATAACAACTTATTTAGTTGGCTGTTAACCTCAGTATGGTGCTTCAGAGCCATACCTGAGTCTGGAACCAGGGTGTTAGATGTGGTGCACATACTTGAGAAGTGAGCATCTAACCAGAGAAATGAGGAGCCAGGAAGCAACTTCCAAAAGCACAAAATGCTATCAATAAGTCCAGGAAGCTGCTAAGAGTACGTCTGCACTTTCCCCTATCTTGAGCCCTATAAAACCCTCAAAGGCTCTGAGCTCTGGGAGGTGTTGCTGTCCGTGGTATGTCACCCTGCAGGTTCTCTTTCTTGAATAAACTCTTGCTGTTGCTGTTCCACTTCATGATTTTCTAATCTTTTGTAGCCCACCCCAGTAACACCACCTTGGTGTACATTACTGACAAATGTATACTGTTACTGTGCAGAACAGTCTCATAGTAGATCTTTTACTATTGTTATAACACAAAGCATCACATAATGAGCTAGATGATAACTGAGGAGTTGTTATTGTTAGCTGCCTTTGAGTCCATTCTGACTCATAACAACCCTATGCACAACAGAACTAAGCACGGCCAGGTCCTGTGCCATCCTCACAGTTGTAATGTTAGAGAGCCCCTTAGTGTTCTCCTCATGTCAGTCCATCTCATTGGGGGGGGTCTTCTTTTTCACTGGTCCTTCACTTTACCAAGAATGTTGTCTGTCCTTCTCTAGAAATTGGTCCTTTCTGATAACATGTCCAAAATATGAGAGAGGAAGTCTAGTCATCTTCACTTCTAAAGAACATTCTGGTTGTGAATTCTTCCAAGAAAGATTAGTTTGTAAGGTATAGGGGTGCTTTGATTCCTGGTATGGTGCTGTAGGATCAGCACTGGTCTGTGAACCATAAGGTCAGCAGTTCAAACCCACCAGCTATTCCTCAGAAACCATATATAGGATCACTATGAACCAAAACCAACTCGATGGCACTTAACAACAAGGGGGTATTTACTAAAATAAATTATTATTCACCCTTCAAGACCAAAAGTGAACTCACCATCATGACTCAACTTTCAGCCAAACAACACACAAGTCTGTAATGTAAATAGTAAAACCAGGGAGGTACACCTGCCATAGAACAATCAACCATCTGAGGAGGGCAGATTTTGCCCATGTATAAAACTCAGAAGGCAGGAAGGGATAGGAAAAAATATGAATGGAATAAGTGTGAAGAGTCTTGCTGCAATGGGGAAATTTCAATGTCTGAAACAAAATGTGTATGAATTGTTGAATGGAAACCAATTCTCTCTTTAAACATTCACTCAAATAAAAATAAATAGTTAAAACATACATGAAAAAATAAATTAAATTATTACACTTTTTAGTATTTTATCATTATTCTATATGACAATCAAATACCAACTTCTTGTTGTTACGTGCCATTGAGTCAATTCTGACTAATAGCAACCCTATATAGGGTTTCCAAAGAGCATCTGATGAGTTTGAACCACCAACTTTGCAGTTAAAATGATCTTGGGATCCAGTGCTTATCCTACAGCACCACAACAAGATTCCAAATACCAATAAAGAATATTAATTTGCTTACCTTATGCTGTCAGTGATAAGGTAACATCCATACTTGGAAACTCTATACAGGATTGCTATGGGTCGGAACCGACTCGACAGCACTTAACAAGAACAACAACAAGGAAGAACACTTAATACCACTATTATTCAAATTTATTAACGTCGATGATGAAATTTAAGAATTCTGTCAACTTCTTCACTCTGAAATTGATCAAACATTCAATCAAGATGCACTGATAATTACTGGTGATTGAAATGTGAACGTTGGAAACAAAGAGGTAGGCTCAGCAGTTGGAAAATATGAACTTGGTGATAGAAATCCTGCAGGAGATCACGATAGAATTTTACAAGACTAATGATTTATTCATTGCAAATATCTTTTTTATACAACATAAAAGGCAACTCTACACATGGACTTTACCAGATAGACTACACAGTAATCAAATTGACTACATTTGTGGAAACAGATGGTGAAAAAGTTCAATTATCATCAGCCAAAACAAGGCCAGAGACAGAACAAACCATCATATGCATAAAATACTAAAAAGTATAATAATTTTATTTATTTTATGAAATTTTAACTATTTTTATTTGAGTAAACGTTTAAAGAGAAAATTGGTTTCCATTCAACAATTCATGCACATATGCTCATATGCACATTCAGGTTGAAGCTGAGGAAAATAACAGCAAGTTAAAATATGGCCTTGAATACATCCCAGCTGAATGTAGTGACCATCTCAAGAACAGATTTGATGCATTAGAAACTAATAACTGTAGACCAAAAGAATTATGGGATGACATCAAGAACATTATACAAGAAGAAACCAAAAAGATCACTAAAAAGCCAGAAAAGACCAAAATAGATATCAGAAAAGACACTGAAACTTGCTCTACAGCATAGAGATGCTAAAGTGAATGAAAGAAATTAAGAAGTCAAAGAGCCGAACACAAAATTTCTAAGACCTGGAGTTATAAAACCAAGATGGCAGAACACACGCAGAATTTCTCAGGCTAAAAGAACTGAAGAAAAAATTCAAAGCCTCAACTTGCAAAATTAAAGAATTCTATGGGCAAAATATTGAATGATACCAAAAGCATCAAAAGACAATGGAAAGTATACACAGAGTCAATGTATCAAAATTAATAGTCGATGTTCAACCATTTCAAGAGGAAGCATATGGCCAAGATCTGATGACAATGAAGGAAAAAGTTGAAGCTATACTGAGAGCAGGGGTGAAACACAAGACTCCAGGAATTGACAGAATATGAACTGAAATTTTTAAAGAAATTTTGACTCAGCACTGGAGACACTCATTTATCTCAAGATATTTGAAAGAGAGCTACTTGGCCAACTGATTGGAAGAGATTTGTGCCCAATCCAAAGAGAGGTGACCCAACAGAATGTGAAAATCATCAAACAATGGCATTAATACCACATGCAGTTTTGTTAAGATAATTTAAAAACAGTTGTAACCGTACATTGGCAGGGAACGTCAAGCTGGATTCAAAAGAGGATGTGGAACTAGGTATGTTACTGCTGACATTAGATGGATCTTGGCTGGAAGCAGAGAATATCAGAAAGATGTTTACCGGTGCTTTATTGACTATGGAAAGGCCTTCAACTGTGTGTACCATGAAAAATTGTGGATAACATTGCGAAGAACGTACTCATGAGGAACTATACATAAACCAAGAAGCAGTTGTTAAGAACAAAATTAGGGAACACTATAACAAATAATCCAAGAAGATGGATTATATGAAGAACGTGACATCCGGATTGGAAAAAAACTCATTAACAACCTGTGATACACGGATGATACAAACTTGCTTGCTGGAAGCGAAGAGGACATAAAATACTGATGAAGATCAAAGACTACAGCCTCTGATATGGATTGTATCTCAATGTAAAGAAAACAAAGATCTTTACAACTGGACAAATCAGTAACATCATAATAAATGGGGAAAAGATTGAAGCTATCAAAGACTTCATTTTGCTGGGATCAACCATCAACATTCATGGAAGCAGTAAAGAAATCAAATGACATATTTCATTAGGCAAATCTGCTGCAAAAGACCTCTTTAAAATGTCTAAGAGCAAATATGTCAGTTTCAGGACTAAGGTGAGTCTGACTTAAACTATGGTATTTTCAGTCATCTGAAAATGCATGTGAAAGTTGAAGAATGAATAAGGAAGACTGGAGCAAAAGCAATGCACTTGAATTATGGTGCTGAATAATAATATTAAAAGCACCATGGACTGCCAGAAAAACAAACATACGTGTTTGCAGAAGTACAGACAGAATACTCCTTAGAAGACAGGTTGGTGAGACTTCATCTCTCATACTTGGAACATGTTATTAGGAGGGACCAGTCTCTGGAGAAGGACATGCTTAGTAAAGTAGAGGGTCAGTGAAAAAGAAGACCCCCAAGGAGACGTATTAAGTCAGTGCCTACAGTGTTGG